AAATATAGTTGCTATGAAATCACAATCTTTTTTTTTTGACGCATCAAGGTGACATTTCTGTTTGTTTTTATTGTTTTTCATATTTCTATTTAAAAAGTTCATCGTTGTCAAGTTTTTTGTTAGTATATATTTTATTTGTGTTTTAAATAGGTTATAGTTTTTTGGTTAACCTATAAACTTTAATTATTTATTTTTGTTATTAGGTATTTGCAATCAAGTTAGATAGTTAACTATTAAATGTTTCTTTAAATATGAATTCTGAAGTTTCATTAAATCTGTTAAAGTGTGTTATAGAGCCGAGTTTTTTTTTAAATTTCCACGTTTGAACACCTGTATTGTTAGCAATAGGTTTAATTCGTATATCTGGAGTATTATATCTTTAAAAGAAATAATATCATGTCCCTGCTATTTAAAAAAAAATTAATATTGCTAACAAGTGAATTAATGTGGGCAGTTTTAAATTCAACACGAATTGATACGGGTGTTATCATAAACCTCGAATATCTCAAAAAATAAGTAAAATTTAAATACACGGTAAATTCCAACCTTACCTTATTTTTTGCATTGAAAATCTTGAAATTTTATTAATTGAATTCGCCAAAACGACACCACCTATTTGGCGCATCTAATTGAATAGTGCATCATCTCCTTAGTCTGTGGTTAAATTTCCGTTGCAATACTTGGATCAGTAGCGCCACAACACAATTTTATAAGGGGCAATCAAAATATGAAAAAAATACATAACCTCAATTTCTGCCAAAATTGCAAAATTCGAATAGGACTTTCTGAAGAAAGTGACCTTTATTTTAACCAAGGATTCAACAAATTTTGAGATACGCAGGGTGTATACTTTTGGGACACCCAGTATCAAAAGAAATATAATATTTTAAATATTCAGGAGAGTCCAAGAAACTTTTGTACGAAACTTTTTTTCGTATCTCCTAGGGGTTTCCAGATCGTATAGCCGATCATTTTATTTTTCACACGGGGTACATTATAACAATCAATTGGCATGCTGTTGATGTTCCCTAAAACTTAATCGATGTTTTAAGGTAGATATAAATACTTCAAAAAGTACAACAGATGTAAAGAAAAAACTAAAAAAATCTTAATACCCCATTGAGACATTATTTAAAAAATCTTATTCCATCTTTTATATTTTATTTTAAAACCACCTCATATACAATTTATTCTTTAAGGGAGCGCTGGCGATATTCGTCCCTTCGCGTCTGTAGAGAACCTTGATTGTCCTTTGTGTAATCACGTTTTTTCTGATTTAAATTTGTCGTCAATTTATCGGATGCGAATTTTACATCAGTTTGAACATTGGACCGGATTTGTATTTATTGTCCCTTTCGTCGGGCAGAAAAACGACAGCAAAGCCCACTCGATGGAGAGGCCAACATATTTGCATGTATCGCATTTCCCCTAAAACTCGTACTTGCAAAAAAATAAAAACTCTATCTGGATCAGTTAGGCGGAACGACAATAAAAGCCGTACACCTGTTTGTTGGAGGGGACTTTTTATATGATCCGACGCTTGACAATTCCCGATTAATCCCCAATTATTACGCTAAACATTATAAATGCTCTATTACACGCTCAAAAAGGCTTTGCGTTCATTCCGCCTTTATTTCCTTTTGCGAGAGAGGACAAAACCATTATAAAAACTCGATAATTGCATTCGACGTCAGTACTCGTCGAATAATCGCCGGTAACGACTTTTTCATTTCTCTATAATGTTTTTATTTATCGTTTTTCCTTTGCTCGTATGTGGCCGTGTCGCATTCGATTTTCGTCGCTTTCGACGCACGTCCATCGAACTGATATATATATATATATATATATATATATATATATATATATATATATATATATATATATATATATATATATATATATATATATATATATATATATATTTATATATCTATATATATATATTTATATATCTATATATATATATATATCTATATATATATTTATATATCTATATATATATTTATATATATATATATATATATATATATATATATATATATATATATATATATATATATATACTTGGCGATTCACTTTGCTGTTTTAAAAGTTCTGGGAAACCATTATCTATTTTAAATTTTTGCGTGCAAAAGGACAACGGTGCGAAGCACCAATAATTGTGCATTAAAATTTGCTCACTTTTATCAAACAATTGTAACAAGTAAAACGTATTATTGCATTAAATTTAATATTTCTATAAAACAATAGTTATACTCATTTGTCACATTTTGATACAAACCTACCTTATTATTTAGTATGGATTATATCAAGAAATGGTAAGTACAAAAGTTATAGTATATGGAACTGCGATGAACTTCGTTAAACTTCTTCTTCTTCTTCTTTCAGTGACCTATCAGTTATCTGACATTGGCAACCGCTTGGGAGAAATCTTCTCGGTCTTCTGCCAGTTTAAAAAGTTCTCCTGCAGCCCGGTATCCAGTCCAGTCGCTTATGTTACGTAGCCAGGACTCTGCTTCCTACCAGCTCTTTGTCTACCTTCAATCTGCCCTCCATAATTGTTCTGAGAAGATGGTATGTTTTGCCTCTCATCATATGTCACAGATATGCTATTTTCCTTCACTGGACAGTTGTGATGAGCTCACGATGTGTGTTTGCTCTTCTCAGGACTTTCTCGTTGGTCACTCTTGCAGTTCACGACATTTTTAAGATTCGCCGAAGGGTCCAGACTGCTTAAGGTGCTGATCTTCAGTGTCCAATACTCGACTCCGTATAGAATAGAATAGAAGAAGCTGTTATTGCAGAACACTGACAATAGGTATTTGAACCTTCTTTCTATGCGTGCTACGATTTAGTTCCTGCTAAATATCATAATTTAGTTTTTGTTATGTTAATATTCAGTCCCATATCTGTGCTGATGGTGCTCACACTATGTACAAATCGTTGGGGGTATTCTATGCTACTTTTTACAAAACTTCTGGATTTCTCCTGCGTCGGTTTCTTCTGAATCGAACTTGCTGACGTTTCGCCAATCATCCTGTTGGCTGCTTCAGAGCTTGACTGAAACTGTTCAGTTGTCTTCTATGCTTTCTGCCATTATAACAGTGTCGTGTGCTATCTCAAGTTATTTATCGTTACTGTTAAACTAAATAAATAAAATTACGAAATGAACAGTGCAAAGCCTATGTTCGGTGTCAAAATATATCCAGTCACACTGTACCGAAATTAATTACAGACTGTAGATATTATTATTAAACGGTCTACCGTTTGATCAACCACGTTCTCAAGATCCCACAATGTTTCTTCTACTTGGACGATATAATATACAGCATTTTGTCGGTGTTCGAAGGTCATTTTCACAATGGCAATCTTATATCTTCCATTTTAAAGTCATCCATTTTGAATGTCGCTATTCTTCTAGTGGAAAATCCGACTTTAGGCTCAAATGAGTTTCATTCGTAAATGCCGGATAGTATTATTTTGTTGTTCTGCTATATTGTCCACGTTATATTGCAAAAACAATGTTTTTGTAAATTCGTTGTCTTTTTAACAGTATTTTTGCTGGCAAGCCAGCCGATAATATTTTGTTTTCTATGTCACTACAATTTCTCCAAAGTAAAGCTTGAAAACAAGGATGGACTGTATTTTAAGACCCGTAGATACATGAAAGCTTGGTATTACATAACTTACAGTAATCTACGACTCATCAAGAAAAAAATCTTGTGTTCCACTGGTTTATAATTTTCAAGTGTCTTTTTCTCCAAAGAACAATTTCATCGCTCTCAAGTTAAAGGACTGCGGTATTTTTTCTCTGCTAAATAAAAATATATAGCACTTTTCTAATTATTAAAGGAATACTGGTCGCTTGCCTAAGCTCCACTCAAACTCTTTCTGGGGTGGATATTTCCTTTTTTAGATAGAAATAATATTTTGAGGTAGTCAAATTTTTACTAGGAGTCGCTCCAACAAACATGTAGAATAAATAAATTATGGATGTCGTCAGTTCTTTTCACAGTCACCCGTGTCATCATATTCATATACGGATATCATCTATCAATTTCTTTTGAAAATTGGCCGCCGATAGTGGGGATCAAGATCAAGAAACACTGTAAAATCGATAATATTACATTTTATTTCTTATTCACATGCAATATATGCATTAAGCATTGAGCCCACCATGCACTGCAATATAATATTATAGCTTCGGGATGAGCTATAATATCCCATTGCCAAAAATAAGATAACATACGGTTTTCATCAGAAAATCTCCGTACCCTTAATTTTTTCGCTAAAAAGCTTTTAATATTTGTAAGCATTTATTAAAAATAAAATAATTAAATTGTTCTGCAATAAATATGCAACATTACATTAGAATTATTATGTTATATTATACCTCGAATCATAACTGTTTAATATAGTTCTGAGTTCTGACTTTTCTGGTTATTTCGCTCTTACTCGGTGAGAACTTTGATTTTGCTCATCCCTTGTTGCCCTTAATATTTGGTGTTATGTATTGACCATGGGGCGATGAGCACAACGCCCACTGCAGCGCTGGAGGTCCACATCACCAATACAGATCTATATACAAGGGGAAGCAAGATCCGCAGTATATAGATTACTGCAAGGCCAGTCCCCAATAGTTGGTGGATATAGCATGAAACATACTTTACTTGGAGGTAAGGGCGGACAATGTCCTAGGGCTGCCTACGGACAGCACAATACCTAAGTATTGCTTCGTTAACCACTACAGGACTCAAATCTCTGCCAGAGAAGACTGGGAAAACGGGCCACGAAGCAAGGCAGAAATAACCTGGTATGCAGATGGCTCAGAAACTCAAGAAGGAGTAGGAGCCGGAATATATGAACCCAGGACGAAAAGGAAAATCTCTATTCCAATGGGTAAGCTAGCAACAGCGTTCCAAGCAGAGATCACTGCACTAGAACACTGTACAAGAGAAATAAAAGTGAGGAAGATCCGTAACAAATCAATTGCAATTTACACCGACAGTCAAGCGGCTATAAAGGCCCTGCAATCTAATAAAATAACATCCAAGTTAGTTCTGGACTGCCATAAGGTATTAAACGAAATAGCAAGCCAGAACAAAGTTCCTCTATCATGGGCACCGGGGCACGGAGAGCTTAAAGGTAATGAAGGCGCAGACGACGCAGCCCGCGAAGGGTCGTCAATGCGCCTGATTGGACCATAACCCTTTTGTGGGGTGACCAAACCCGTTGTAAAAACAGCCATCAGGGGTTGGATGGACCGAGAATCCCGACGATGGTGGAGGGACATGTCGGGGCAAAGACAGGCCAAGGAATTCCTAAGGGGCCCATCGGCCAATTTCACAGCGGACTACAATAGAAAAGCCGTAAGAATAATGGTAGGTCTTCTGACGGGCCACTGCAGGCTTAAGAGGCATCTAAGCCCGATGGAAGTGGAAGAAAACACAGAATGGAGATTCTGTCAGGAAGAGGAGAAAACAGCCGCACACGTACTGTGCCATTGCGAAGGCCTAGCGAGAGTGCGTTTCCATCTGCTGGGCGATACCAAACCAGAGACAGAGAGCTATACGAGGGAGCCATTATCGAACTTGTGGAGTCTGGTTAGAGAGACGAACCTGCATAAAGCCCTATAGCTATGGAGAGAGTCACAATAGATCCTCTGGGTCGCAGTGACGGACAGGCTGACTGCTAGCTCTCCCAACTGTTAATCTAATCTAATCTAATCTTTATGTATTTACCATTCGTTTGCACACTAAACAAGCTTCCAGTTTAGCGGTCTGCCATTATGAAGTGTAAGAATAGCACTTTACCTCCGTCATGAAGAGCCTAAACTTCGCCCTTTACCTTCTAGTTTTTTTTTCTTTTCTTTTTTATTCTATGTTTCTCTATTTCGTTTTGTATTTATTTTTTATGCCAATAAAGACCATTTATTATTACTATGACTTATCCTGGTGAAAAATGTAAATGTATGTAAATATGCTGATCCATAATGCATCTCTAAAAATAAAATTCTCTGCATCAGATATCTGCATCTCCAAATTTGGATATTGGCACCACCATGCTTTTAATGGTTGTAAACAGATGCTCAGACACACACCCAAGTGGAATATCTCGCAACTACGCTTTACATAAGACAAACTCCCTTATTATGAGTTTACGATATTCTGTATAAAAATGACTATTCTTAGAATACTTGCCTATTTATAAAAAAAGATGGATGGAGGGTTCATTCGCCCATAAAATATCCTGATATCAAAAATTTGGATCAATTTTGACTATTTTAAATTTCCGGCAAGAATAGAAGTTTAGTTCTCACGCTGTATTAAAATGAAAAATTTACCTGTAGATTAGATCATCTTAAGAAAATTTCCAAAGACGTTGTGCGAGACGCCTGAGGGTGTTACAACTATTTTAAATGATATTTGTTCTTGAAATTGAGCTTCCAAATTTAATTATTCCAATCTATTGTGCAGTAGTGTAGATTAAAATGACATACAAATTCTGTTAACTCCTTGGAATGTACAGTTTTCCATAGAAATAAAAATTTCTGAATAACTGATTCGCATCTAATCGAAAATGATATCGATAATAAAGTAGCCATCGTTGTACAGAAATTTAATTTAATGAGAATCGATTACAAAACTAATAACCAGTGAGCGTTCGGCGCTTGAACAAATCTTGAAAATTACTTTGCAAAATTACTAGAGAAAACAACATCCTCAGAGTGCCATCTTTGGTAAACAGTTTTTCGGGTCATTTTCCTATGAACTTTTTTTCTTGCTTTGATTCCTTTACATAAGTTTTCTGTCGGATTTAATTCGTACCTTTTGAAATAGTTACTTAAATTAACCACGACGTCGATGGATTTATATCATCCATCTCTCTGAGGTAATTTTCCAAAAGCTCCTTGAGGTGTTATCTTTAAACCTTTGTCAAAGTTTGAAGTGTCTGGGGATGCGTGATACGTTACACTGACATATGTTTCGTATCACGATATACCTTAACGTAACATAAGTTGAGGAATTCGGCATGCAAAATAAACAGCTCCTCCTCGTTGTTTGGTTTCCCATTTGTCACAGGGATTTCGTCGGTTTCCCTTAAGTAGGCGCCTGTCTATCACGCGGTAAGCTACTTGTTAAATGTTAATGATTTCGATCGAGACCCAAGGAGATTTGGGGTACCGGGGGTTGGGATGACACGAAACGCGCAGATTGGAGATCTTCTTGCAAAAATTTAAATACGCTTGGTGACGATTTTATTGTCAGAATCTAAAAACCGTGGAAATTCAAATCGCAAAAGTAATATCTCGCAACATTCATATTTGTATGTAACTCACTAACCAAAACTCAAAATGTGTGGTGTCACTAACACTTTTGTTTCGTGACTTTTATGTTAAATTTGTTTTGTTAAAATATTTTCTGCAAATTCTAACCAGCGCTCGACATTGGTCCAAAGTGTTTATTTCTTGTTTTAAGCAGAAATTATCGGAAATAACTTTAACAGTATAGCATTCACCACGTTTAAAAACTCCTTCAGGCACTCCATTTATTAATACACTTGCGACTAAAGTGCCGTTTAAAACAGATAAAACGTCAAGAATGTTTTCGAAAAATTGAAGATTAAATCACTCACACTATGAGTTACATATTATTTGTTACATCACATTTTTTCGGTCGACGTCAAAAACTTTTATTGAACTGCTTGTTTTTTTTTCTGTCGAATCGTTTTCAGTGAGGGAAAAGGAGAAATATATGTCTTCGTAAATCTTTGTCCTTCTAAAGCAGGATGATACTATCCGTGCGTAGTTGATTTACGGTATAAAATGGCGGACACTCTCTTTGTGTTTTCTCGATAGGATACGAGATATTAGGTTTGAATTGGGCTTTCAATTGCTCCCAAGAAAATTTGCACGAGGAATTTAGCATCCTCTGGGGTACGTCGGCCTTGTATAAACACCATACGGAGACCCTCCGGCGTCGCCTTAGTTAAAATAAAAACAGAGCGAATCTTTTTTTCCTCTCTCCCGTATACTGTCTAAAAGAAAATAAATGGGGAAATTGCAAGGAATTGGAAACTAGAACGTTGTATTTTTCCTCCCTTGTTTAGAAAAATTGAATACATAAAGCGAACAGACGTGCTAAAAAGGTAAAAGCCGGTTGGAAAACTTTAAAAGTTTCGCACCCAGGAGGAAAGAGTTCTTTCGTTGTTGGGGACATTATGGGAACAAATAAATAAAACTCCTCTTCGGATTCGTCCCACTTCCCCATCCGTTTCTCCGGACGAATAAATGGAAAATGGAGATTACGCTTCTCTCTGCTAGAGAAAACAAAACGAGGAAATTAATTTGAAAGTTTCCTTTCTCCAGTCAATTTGCCGTATTGCTTTTAAAGTTGTTCACACTTCGTGTTGATTTGTAACTGTGGACTGTTCGCTTCGTTGTACTGGCAGTCTTTCCGCTTTTTCAACACTTTTGTCCGAACAAATTACGGCACATTGTTGCTTTGAATACTGCGGACCGTCTATCGAAATGTTTTTACTTCGAGTAATGTTTCGTGCACATTCCTAATCGTGTGATTCGCATGCCGTTATTTTTCTGATTAGCTCTACTATATAATTAGAAAATGATATTGAAGTTATTATTATAAAATCGGAAGACTATTTCAAATATATCATAAAGGTTGCAACAAACCAGTGACGTATAAATTTTTGGTTAGTGTGTTGTTTCAATTTTTTCATTTTTTTGATATTTAATCGCTTATGTGTGGGTAGTGGTAGATTTTAAATAATAGTACAAAATAAATTAATTAACCATCAGTTTTAATTTTTATAATATCGTGTTTGGCCATTTCTCACCAAAAACTAGCGATATGCAGACAAAACATAATGTAAAACTCATTGTTTAAAAACTTTTTAAGGGGATTCCAACGTAAGACAGTGTTCGACTAGTTAACTTATTGCTTTGCTTTTGTTTGTTGCTTTTGAAATTTGGTAGTTTTGGTTGGTTTGTAATCTCTGCAAGTATAGCACAGTAATATTACCCCCTTTCATGCTAGCTTTGTGGGTTTTTAGTCAAAAAGACTAAGCTGTCAGTCCCATAGCGTTGGAATTACCTAGAGAAATACCTAGGTTTGATTGTAGACGATAAGATCACTTGAAATTTCTCATGTAAATAGATAACTGCATATATCATAAGGAAATATTTTTGTGCTTCATAGTGGTTGAGCACTTTCACTGTGTCTACAAAGCCCATTTCATGACATACTGGCGGCAACTCTAGTTAGAGAATCATAACATCTATAATTTTACTGTTGATCGAAAAGCTCCAGTGATTGTTATGAAAATGTCTGTAAATAAAGGCTTTAAATTTCTTATGGTGTAAGATTTATCTCAAGACAATCTCGTATAAATGCATGCGTACCACTATGCATTCCGTATTATGTCAAATTTAAATAGTATTTTTCAATTAGTACCGAAAGCTTTTATATTGACCCGGAAATTATAAATATGATTGTGGTTTATAAACGTGAGGCATTTGCGCCTCGTGTTACCCGCTGACCTCACAAAGAGTCTAAAATTATACGTTTTAGTGCGCCTTAATTAATAATGACGTATTGCAGTTCTGCAGCAGGTTTCTACATTTAATCATGTTTAAATGAACACCGCAGAAACTGAAATTCATATGCGAAGTGTAAAATTGGCGCTAACTTTTACGCAATTTTGTTGTTTCTCGACGAGTTTGCGGCAAATACTTAAGCGCTCGAATTGTTATCATTTTACTTCCCTTATTCAACTGTTTTTTTAACGTTAAGTTCAATTTTTTCAAAATGCCGAATAGTCAATTATTCAATGAACAACCGTTCTCACTACTTAATACTTACTAAATCTACACCTATCGACACCGTTTCTGACGCCGGGTTTGCTTGTAACAGTAAATGAATTTTTTGCTACTTTGTAACATGCGAGAATCCATTTCTATAAAAACGAAATTGACTTCAGTAAAAACTTTTTTTTGCTATTTAGGATGCTGTAATTGCAACTGCTGCTTATCGTGTTTTAGGCCAACAATTAAAAAAGCGAAAGATGAAGCTTATCATAAGAAAGTTTTTGGTCACATTTGAGCGCAGATGAAAGCCGTCTTCAAGATTTTAAATAAATTAACACCTCATAAATCAATCCATACGTAACAGAAGTTTATGGGACTATAGTGCCATATTTAAAAATGTACACACAAAAAAATTGAGATCGCAACATATATTTTTCACTTGTAGATCGGGAGCAACACGTCGCATCAGGCAATGTTTTGTCAATACGCATGCTACAGGTTGCTAATTGTAATGCCGGCAATAGATTTTATAAACTTCTTCAGTCCATCGTTTTTATACACTCACTTTGCTAATGCAGAATCAAACTCCTGACTAAAGTATCATTGTAGCCGCTT